GGCCTCTTCACCACAGGGGCGTGACTAACCATCCCCACCCAGTCCTCAAATAGGCCACGCTCAGCTTTTTAGCGCAGAGCAATTTCCCAGAGTCTTCATGGAGACTTCAGGGTTGTCTACCGCTGACGAAGCTTCTGTGAGAGAAGCGAAACGTCCTTTTTTGTTTTTTGTTTGTTTTTTACCCACAGGTACAGATGACGACGGACAGAACCCTTTCTACGATGGAACTTTCCTGTACGACTGAGAGCCTCCACAAGCATATTACAGCTGGAGTCAATAATGCCGGCACTTCACTTCCGGGTTTGGCCGTTGGGATTTGGAGTCCTTTTGCTCGATTCCAGTTATGTTTGCTGAATGCTTTCTGATGTTTGGAATAATGAATGTTGATAATACATACCGTATTTTCACGACCATTCGGCGCACCGTATTGTTGGGCGCAGTCTCACTAACGGGTGCTATTTCGCTATTTCTGTATTTGACACATACACAAAACGCACTGTATTATTGGCGCAGCCAGGCATGGTAAAATATACGCCAGCTTAAACATACGGCATGCATGCACGCACGCTAAAAACACGTCAGCTTGAAGCATTCGGGAGCATGCATTCACGCTAAAACATACCAGGTATGTTATCTTAAAGCATACGGTAGCAGCTAAGACATACGGACACACGCTAAAAACACGTTTTTAAAAAGGCAACGGAAGCAAAACTGAGTTCGGTTGTACTTTATTTATCCATTTTACGATGTACTCACGCGACTGGTACCTGCTAGGGGTGTGCCTTTAGCGTCCTCTTACACGCCTACTCTTCACTCATTGGCGACTGGTACCTGGTCGGGACGTGCCTTTAGCGTCCTCTTACACGCCCACCCTTCACTCATTGGCCGACTTCCGCATGCCTGTCGTCACTCACGTCCACCTTTTCTCTATATAAACAGCGTGTCGGCCAGAGGTGCTCTTAGTCAGGCTTTGGAACTCGGCGCATACATAACACGCACCGCATTATAAGGCGTCCTGTCCATTTTGGAGAAAATTTAAGA